CAGAGATGCTCCAGTCCCCTCCTCATCCTCGTAGCCCTGCGCTGGACTCTCTCCTGTAGCTCACACATCCTGTTCGGGGTGAACACTGCCTGCAGGGAAGGCGTGCACAGCAACAGCAGGTCTGCAAACCGGGAACTCGCTGTGCAGAGAGGCTCTGTCCTCCGTGTTCAGCGGCAGAGCAGGAGGTATCCAGAGCGGCGAGGCGGTTACGTCCCACGAACACCAGCGGAGCACCGGTTCCACAACCTGCCTGCTGCCACACACGGTCCTGCAGCACGTACCACAGCACGACCTGTCTTCTCTCACCGCTGTAAAAGGGGCATGGTGGAAAGGTGCTGGTCAGCTGAAGCATCCTCTCCGACTCACTCCCACAACCCACCCAGCCCCCTTTTTATTTCTATGTTTTTTTTTTTGTTTGCAGGACATTACTGGGGACTTGAAGCTAAAAGAAGTCAGCACCCTTTTGCCAGTGCAGCCCCTCCAGCCAGGAGGATCTGGGTTTTTAAAATGGAGTAAGCGCTTGCCTGGGATGTGCGCTAGCGGAGAGGATGCCTTCCCTCCCTCCCTGCCACCGCACAGACCATAAATTCAACTGTGGAAACTCCTGCAAAGCTGTGTAGTTCACGCTCTGTTGATTTTCTCATTGACTTTCTATTTATAGAAAGCCTCAGGCCCTAGCTGTCAAGAAAGCAAATGGGAGAAGCAGCTGTCCCTTCTGGGAGTAGCTTGCACACACGGAAATGGTACTGCGCCTCATTTGTATTCATACCTCTGCCTTCTACATGGACACACTTTAACCCAGACCACTATGGAAACATTAAATTCTTCCACAACTTGGTCAGGCAGATGATTTTTTTTTTTTTCAATTTAAATAAAAACAAGGTTCAGGGAGCAAAAAGGCCCTTCTGTCAGTGGCACAAAAGGCAAGGAAACGCCAGGAAGCTCACCTCCATCATTAACACTGGGACATAAAACTCCTGGGAATTCTCTTGAAGTGTTGCCAAAACAATCTGAGAGAGAGATTACAGCTTGGAACAGTGAAAGGTCGCTTTTCTGACATTTTATCTAAAGCATGTCAATGGGTTTAAGTACAGGGTGCAGACCTAGAAAGTCTGCACATTACTATAAACAGATCTGAAGGGAATTTTTAGGTGTGTAAATGCATCTAATCCATGCTACATTCATAAAGGATTAGATATGGGGAATGGAAAAGCACAAGGACAAAAGCAAATGCTCAGTCTCCTGCAGAAGAGATTAAAATGGGTTTCTAGCATGCAGACTATTAGCTGTGCCAGACAGCAATATTTTTCCCCAGCGCTAGAGGTTACACTCTGCTCTTCTGCATTTTTTTCTGTTTGGTAAATTCAGCCCAAATTGAGCCAGACTGAAACCACAGTGAACTAGAACTTCATGTAAGTGACAGCCAATCCATTTCAAGCCCATCTTACAGTGGAATTAAGCCCAGGAAAGCTGCAGCTCTTGCTCAGGCTTCCAGTTTAACTCGGATGTTTTTGTTAAAAGCCATCTTGGCAGAGCACTCCAAAAACATCTTCATGGGAAATGACCGTGAGGTCACAGGACAGACTGCCCACATGCTGCCATTCTAGGTTACTCTGGGTAAGCAACAACAGCTACGATGGTTTCTCTTCCACTGCTTCAGAACTTCATTCTTCCCCAAACCATCTCTGAGCTTCAGTTCTGGCCACGAGAGACAACCTCAGGCAAGCTAAGTAGAGCTGATGAGGATCCTCGCATCTCCAAACTCCATCAAGTCCACGATGGATACCTCCCTGCACGCCCTGTCCATTTCCTCCAGCACTTCTCCACATCTCCAAACTCCACCACGTCCACGATGGATACCTCCCTGCGCGCCCTGTCCATTTCCTCCAGCACTTCTCCAGGTTTCAGGAATGGAAGCAGGAGCAGCAATGCAGATTCCTCGCTGCCCTTCCTAGTACTACCTGTGCTTCACGGGTGATTTGATTAGGTTTCATCCCACGGACGTTAGGACTAGAATCGCAAGCCACAAGGCTTCAGTCAGCTGGAGGCAGCAGGACAGACCCTGTGCAACAAAGCAACACTTCACCACAGACCAAGCCTGCCATGCTGCTCCCTCTGCATCCATCTCTGTCTTCCAGACACTCGTTGAGGTTTTGTTCCAAGACATGTCTACAGAAGTATAACGCATACGGACAGAAACACTACAAATGGCTGATGGAGGAACACACTAATTAAGAAAATATACATACAAAGCTGAGGTGAATTAAGTGACAGGCATGTTGCAATTAAACCTCCACTTTGAGGATTAGCTCCAAGTCACATCAGGGCACTACGCAAAACTGCTGATGACAAAAGGCCAACAAAATGCTCCCATCCAGCTCTGTGCTCCAGCATTCACAACCAGCAGTTTTCACCAGTGTGAAATGTGTGATAGTCCCCAGAATGAGTCGATAGAATTTATTTATTAAACAGAGACCTTAGGCATATCACATTTCAGCAGCTGTTGTGACAAGCCTATCTACAAAAGTGACGGAAGCTTAAATGTCTCGAGACACAGTTGTTTCAAGTCTGCTTTGAGGACTTCTGAAGAGCCCTATGCTCACGACATCTGCTGCTTACCAGCTCTGTAAGGCGCTACTAAGATCAGAAACAGAACCGTTGAGAGATACCTTGCTTCTCCCTTTTCTTGGCTCTTCCTGCCTTTCATCTTCTCAACTTGTACATCATCTCAAACTCTTCCTACCTGTGTTGTTATCTTGACATTATGCTTTGGGTGGAGAGAGGAGAAAAAAAAGCAGCTGCAAGTAGTGAACCAAGCGGGAAGTCCAGACATTCACCTTAACTAGGGTCACAGAGGAAGCTCCCTAAATCCTCAGGTTAATCCCTTTTGTAGCTTCCTGATAGCTCCGCACATCCAAGGTGGACAACATTGTAGCTTGCAAACTGATTAACATTCAAGCATGAGTTCACAGAGGTGCTGCTCACATCAGGTAGGTTATTTCCCACATCAGCCATCTTCAGCACGCAGCGTCCCGACTCAAAAAGTTCAGTCATACAGGAGTTTAAAGACCGACAGTTCAAGAGTTACCTGTCCTCTCACATAACCACCTTACAGCTGTTGCATCCAGCTGAGGAAAGTCTGATCAGCATTTCCTTGAGCCAGTTATGCTGGTTCCTACAGCCCCTACCTACCCTGATCTGCCCCCTCAGATGTGCCACGACAACAGCGTAGCTACGCAGTTAACGTGCCTTGCCAAGCTATTTTTAATTCCAACGAGCTCCCTGACCCAGTTCACACTACAGCTACCCAAAGAGATGCACCAGCACAACGGAAAGGACAGCAGAAAGGCCAGAATACGAGGCAGGACTAACACTGCCAGAAAGGACTGTCAAACTGCAGCCTTACTCCTTCCCTGACAGCAGAGAGCACCACCAGCTACAAAGCCACCTATAACAAGCTACTTGTCAGTGCTGACCCAAGCCCCAATATACCAATACCATTCCAGAGACCAACTTGGGTTAAGAGTAATTAAAAACCTGCTTAAAGAGGCTTTTAACCGCAGCTGCTGAAGGGCCATACCCTTAACACTTTCCATAGGCCAAAACAAAGGCAGGCATTCGCAGACAGAAGTCAGTGGGCAAAACCTGGCATAAACACAGCCCTCTGCAAAGCTCTAGGCAAGCTCCAGTCATGGCTCCAAATTCCTTGACCCAATGACTGAAAAAGAAGCCTACGGTAGCACTTGTGACCAACAGCTCTGGCAGGCAGCTCCCAGGGCAGTGCTCAACAGAAATCTTTCCCCTTTTCAGGTGCCCTCACAAAGCCGCCAGCAGAGCGTGCCCACCCAGCCACCTCCTCAGGAAAGCAGTTCGTGTGTCTGGCCACACAGACAAAAAGCCTGTGCCATGTTAACTGACCCATGGCACATCACACCTCCTCTCTTCATCAACCAGGGGTAAGATATGAAGTCCTTGTTCCAGAACACCAACAACTTTAATTTTGACACAGATTAAGCTTCTTGCAGCTTCTTGATAATTATCATCTTTATGCCCACCCTCTCCTGCATTTTTTTTAAAGCCCTTTGAACGTTTTATGACAGCAGAGCAACAAAACCTCCTGCTCCAATTTGACACAGAACCTTGTTAAAAGTTCTGGTGCTATAAGGTACATTTTAAAGTGATCAGGACAACAACACTAAGAAATTAGTCACCCCCACCCTTCCCTTCCTTCAAGATCACTTAAAGGATAAGTGATAAAAGCAGAGGTCATTCCCGGGGAGTAATGACAAGCTAGGAGATAAGGGGTGATAAAAAGCAAAGCTGATAAAAAGCAAAGGATCATTTATCACAACTTTTTATTACAGGAAATGCCTGGCAGCAAAGCTTTCACATACACCAGTAAGGGGGTTCTCTTACTAAATGAAGAGAAATCAAGAAATTTGACAACAATCAGTGGTCTGCTTTCTCTCCCACATGACTGTCACTCAGAGAAACACCCTAAGTCTTTACCCTGAGTTTCAAAACCAGAAGCCCACAAAAATCACAACTGTACTTGGAAGAAGTAAAGCCATGATCTACCGGCTCTGCGAAGGGCAGAACGGCCCAAATCCTGCTCTTTCCTTCCTTCAGCCCGCCAGCTCTCCAGAAAGGTGCCTGACACGCTAACGGGACACCGTGGCAGTCCCCCTCACAGCCACTAACATGCACTGCCTCCCTCAGTCCCAAATGCTTGCCAAGCATCTTGCTAAGCTGGTAACAATACTGATCTGGTACGTCTTCAGGCAGTTAGAGAATAGAAACAAATTTAAACCAAATAAAGCATTATATACATTCTCAGATGACAGCACACATTTTGAAATATGTTTCAATAATACAGAGTTCATATGGTAAAATTAACCAGCTGTGTGCTAACGTGCAAAGAATAAAATAAGGACAAACAGCACTCAGGCAGCTGCTTCAGACCTCAGCTCACGACTACTGCAGTTCAATGGATTACCAAGGATAAATACTTTCTGTACGTCAAAAGGTGGAAAACCAGTAGGAGGAGGAATGAAAAGCACAGGCTTTGTAAAATGTTTGTAAATTGCTAAACTAAATTGAAAAACCAAACAACTTTGTTTTTACAGTACCTGAAAGGAAGCTGACATTAGTAAGTGACCTGATGTACAATTTGGAGCATATTGCTTAAACTGATATTACTAGATTAGTTTATAAAAATATATAATCCAGTAACAAACTGGCAGCTGTCACAAAACAAAGTGAAAGCCTGATTAAAAAAAAGTGCTTAAAGTTGTTGAGCATGTGAACATTTGCATTCAAAGTGATTGCATTGCTTATTTCCATGTAGGCACCATGCATGTAGAAGTACCTGGTCTTCTCAGCTCCATTTTCCAGTCCATTTTGTTCCTTCAAATACTCAAGTTGCACTAAAAATGTGTTTAGAATAAAGTAGGGCAGAAGGATGATGATTTAGTGTCCTAATGCTGACCTATCTATGGGCAACAACATTAGACATCTCTTCTACTGAGCTTCTTGAGCTGGAACGTGAGCAATGGCCAGCATGATTTGCCCAAACCCATTCCTAACCCGCTTGCTTTTCTTAAATTCAGTAAGGGATTTCCCATTAGTGATTACAAAAACTGCTCCCATTTCTGAGATGAGGAATCCTGCTGACATTCTGACACCCACCCCAGAGCCAGCAGCATTCTAGTAGTACCGTATGGACATAGTGACACTTCCCAAGTCAGACAAGGTCTGAGACTCCAACGTTAAACATTCATATCCTCCAGGAAGGGGAAACGAACCAAGAAGCCCACTGACAAAAGCCCCACTTACCTGCCATGCCACAGCAAGCTGCGAGATCTCTCGGCCAGACATGCCCTCTGTCAGCCTGGCAATCTCCGAGCACTTTTTCCCATAGTCAAACTGGGCCAGCTTCAAACGTCTGGAAAGCAGAAGAACAAGGATTAGTTTCTGTGCAGCCACGTGACAGGACAGGAGGGTGAGGGACTCAGAGGTAGGCTTTGTAAAGAGCAACACCTACAATGAAATCAAAGATTGGATCAATCTCTGTAGAAAGATCCAGCCCAAGTACAGAAGTTGTTCTCCTGGACCCAGAAAGCCCGATTTTGTGGCACAAAGAAGTGTGCATACCTGGATTAAGACCAAAACAGTGCAAGACTGCACAGCGCACAAGAAAACGAGTCACTTGGTCTGATTTGTCTCTGTTAAGCCAAGCAAAGACAAGTGCTTGGGTATGAGGAGTTCCAACAGTGTTCCTGCTTGCATTATTGCCTCCAGTGCAGTAACTGGTCTCCTAAATTTTAAGGGCACAACAAACGAGGGCGTGAACTTCTAGGGTGGCACCTCATCCCATAATAGGATAGCAAGAGGCATCTCTCCAACTCTTCTCTGTACTACTTGTTTAAAGTGGGTTTATAGATAGTGTGACAGAGTACACAGAAAAGGAGATGATGAAAAACTGTAAAAGAGAGAACCCTGTCGGGTGGGGGAGTTCTGCAGGGATACTCACTGTTTACCCTCTGTGGCTGGCTTCAGGACATGCCTATCAAAATACATTCTCACCAGCCGCTCCCGTTCTTCTAGCTGGGGCAGATCAAAGTTCACCATTTCATCTATTCGGTCGTTGATAGCCCAATCAAATTGCTCAGGCTGGTTGCTTGCTAAAACAAGCATAAACCTGGAAGTATGAAACAAGAGAGGAAACAGTGGAAAACCCATAACAATAAAAATCAGTGAACCAGTCTGAACACTGGGAACGGTCATGGCCAGTATCAAAGACATTTCAGCACCCAACTTGTCTGAAGATTCCTCAGAAACAGCTCTGTAACAGCATCTCAAATGACATACTCAAGTAAAGTGCAGTTTAAGCTATTTAGAACCAAAAGGCATTTAACTTTGTACTTAGCCTTCCAGTATCAGCCTTCCCAGCTACAGAAACATAATTTATCACTTTACCCACAATCTCCCTCAAGTTAGGAATATCACAAACATTTAGCATGGGTGCAACCTCCCAGAGACCTCCAAGTCTGAAACATTGGAACAAGGCTGGACATCATCTGGCACATATGTACCTCCAGTTTAAATCCCAGTTCGGGGAACTGACTTCAAGCTCCCAACAGCACAGCACCCTTGAATCGTGAGGGGCTGTCTCAGTCCTGCTCCGAAGGCGTGAATGGCTGCCAAACTGAAAGCCAACGGCTTACTGAAACCTCAGCCAGCTCAATGAGCTGCAGCGCATTCAACGGACTCATCCTGGCCGAAGAACAAGGGGAGCATAGCGCTGCTGGGTCTGCATAGGGGAAGGTCATTCTTCAGGTAGAACTGGACTTGTTTTCCTTCAAGCAAGTCTGACCACACACTCCTGCTACCAAGTGGAATGTGTGCAGAAAGAGAGGTGTCCACAACGGGTATCACAACGCACAGGTCCTTTGTTTCACCGAGCTTTGCTCCACGGCACAGATGTGCCAGCTTCCAGGTCCTGCTCTCTCCCGCTGCATTTTGAAGCCAGAAGCCCTTTCTTTTGCTGTGTAACGACACTTCTTCCCAATGCCAATTCTACTTCAATGCTTTAGTTGATGTTACCAGCTTAATAGTGCATTACAATTTGAAATGGGCTTTTAACCACAGCTATTGGAATATTGACCTTCCTGCAGCCTATTTAAATCCTAGTCTACAGGGAGCTGTGTTCTTTGCTGTCATTTCTGAAGATCTCTTTGCCAACCCAAGAGCCACCCAGGCATGAAACGGTTCCTTTTTACCAACAAGGACTTTCCCCAAATCCCCACAGGAACGCAGCTTAGACAAAGGATTGACGTGCAACGTGATATTCAGGCCTTACTCATTTCTATCGTGAAAATCATACAAAAGAGCAAGAGATGCAGGCACAGTCAGTCAGCCACGCAGCAAGAAGATGCAGAAAGTTCTCTGGGGAAGTTTAAGCCAGCAATTCACAATACTTAGTTACACTGGTGACAATTCACTGGTAAAGTAACAGCACTCCTCAGGGTCTCACCAAAACGGCTAGATTTACACGCACTATTAGACTTATGCAAGTGAGCTCCCGTTCACAGATACAGGGCTCCCTGTTGCCCAGAGCAGCAATAAGCCTGCTCAGAAGCAAGAAGCAGTGCATGATTCACCAGGACACGTTCAGGCTCCCAGCATGGCTCCCAGCTCAACATCTGACAAAATGACAGCCCAACTGCTGTGAGCGGACGCATAGCACCCACAGCACCAAAGCAAGCACGCCCAGAGCTCTGCCGAGGCAATTTCACATCAGGGGAAAGAGCCATTCCCTTACCACCCCCTGCCAGTCACTGGCTTCCAGTGCCATTATAAATCTGGTCAAAACAGGTAACTATGCTAGTTCTACAGCAATTACACATTACAAGTCTGAAAAGGACTATTTCCTAGAATAGGGGGAACTATCTAAAGCTGAAACACACACTCTGTTATTCTTAGAAGTTCTGCAGTTCCATCTAAACATCTTTATCACCTTTGCAGGTACAGAGCAAAAGACATTTCTAGAGATCACCCAGGAGCTCAGGATATCTGCAGTTCTCACCTCGGAAAACTGTATTTCTGTCTTAAGGACCATTTGTGCTGGGTCCTGCAGAACTTATGTATTTTGCCAATATACTTATTTATTCTTGCAAACAGCAAGTACAACATTGTTTACTAATAATTATACTCCACTCAGCATTTATAGAGGAGTTCTAGATGTAATTTCAGAAGAGACTCACTATCGTCCCAAAGAGAAAACCGAGGATCTCGCAAGGTTCTTGCAGGATCAACACCTTGCGTTCTAACAATCTGCTCCTTTTGGAAAGGCACCTCGCTGCGACACAGAAAGGTACAGAGAAGCTGCACACAAACAACTCTCAGGGAGAGCTGCACTGGTTTTAATAAGTTTAAGAGAGACCCCAAGGACAGAAAATGCCCTGCTGTTGTCCTGAAACAATGATCTTCCAGAAAGTTTATGTCACAAGGCATTGCTCCACAACCTTACTACGGGAGCAGCTCATCGCTGAGAAACTCCCCCGCCCACATACAGAGACAACTTTTCCTGCTGGCTCAGTTTCTTCACAAAAAGAGAAGTTTAACAGCTAGGTAAAGTTCACAAACACACACAAAATAATAAAATCAAAGATTATTTGAAAAAGGTCGAGGAAAGGTCGCCTCTCCTTATTATGACAGCCAGGAAATGGCTCTTGTTAAACGAAGCAGTGCTCTGCAGGCATCAACATTAATGCGACCAAGTAAGCATGGACGGACTGGCAATGAAGTTCAGACACGTGCACACATCTGGCAAGCGTGACTGGCCCTGCAATCATCTGCGTTTAACAAATCTATCAGCAGCCATGAAGGAAAGGGCTCTGGGATTGCTACGTTTCTGTGCAGCGCTGCACACGATCAGACAGCTCATGCAAAAGCAATGGGGTCAGATTTAAACTTATTTTCCTCAAAGCTTCAAACCCTCTCCCACTGCACACATGCACAGCATGGAAGGAGGCCACCAGGGCACTGGAAAGGAACAGGAGCTCAAAAAAGCACCAGCTGGAGCATTTTTTAAGATATTATGAAACCTTCAGCCAGCATCAACCCTGCACTCTCTTTTATGATACTGATTTTCACGGGCCCAATACATTCTTTGTTTAAACAACAGTAACTGATCAAGAAAGAGAACCTACTCGTTAAAGACAATGTTCAAACAGCACCCGTTTCAGGAAAGAATTTCCCTGCAGTGCCAGAAGGGAGCCACACACAGCCGGAATGAGAACTGCTCACCACCACATACCAAATGCCCAGGAACTGTTGTCCTGAAAGGCAGTTGAAGAGCCCTTTTGCACCTCTGCTAACGTGGGCCAAAAACGAACACCCTTCTTCCAGATCTAATTAGATCTTACTGATCTAATTTCAGTTTTAATTTCCTTTCAGTTCTAATTTCCAGGTCCCAGGAAAAGATAAAAGAGGAACTGAAAAGGGGATATTCTACACAGATTTTTGTAAGTCCTTACTAGCACAGATCACACGTTTCCAACTTTCATCTGCACCCCACAGACCCTTTACACGCTTTCCTCGATTCAGGGAAATATCAACTACTGCAAGGGCTGAAACCGGATACTTACTTGTTGCTGTGCTTTCCTGTTCTATGCATTTAAAGTTGCTCTGAGATCTTCACTGATTTTCTCCTGCAAAGATGAAACCCAAAAGGAAGCTCAGCTGCTTGGGGACCTAAGACAGGCCACAGCTTTAAGCAGCATTACTGACAAAGTGAGTTCTGTTATTGTCAAGCATTTGCATCACAGCAGAATCCAAAGCACTGTAATACCTTGAAAAAAAGGATGAATTTATATACCCAGGAAAAAGGTTAGGAATTCAAGTTTCCAGCAGAGAGACTATTTACCCACAGTCATTCAGTGATTCTCTTGGTTTCAAACCCAAGGCTCTACCCATTGGCCCAGGTGACTTTCCCCACTGACACTATTTTAGCTGGGAAATTCAGTAAGATAATTACAGGAAAATAAGCCACAGCAAAGAATTCACACACTGAAAGTAACCTTCGAGGGACAGCTCTTTAAATAGACCATCGGGGTTCAAGAAGCAGATCCAAATTCAATGTACAATATGGTGACTTACTTTGAAAACATAAATCATTTGTATGGAGGGAAGATGCTAGTGTAGCTTTGACAATGTAGTGAGAAGCAGTTCTGTTACAAAAACCTCCTAAAATAAATCTCTGTTGGGACAAAAACCAAACCCTGCCAGGTACCAGTGCTGCAGTGTGAACAATCTTCTCTTGTTTTCAAGATACGCCTCTTTCTTTCCTACTGCCCGATCACCTGCAAAACCTCCAAAAAGATGTTGTCCCCCACCATTTGCAGGGAGGAATTAACCAGTCAGCCTTGAGATGCTCGCTCCACTCAGCCTCAAGACACGAATTTCTTGTCTCTGCATCACTTAATTAGGTGAGTGGTAGGACACCTGCCAGTTTTAATCTTTCGCCTGTTGAAGCCTGCTGATCAGGCTAAACAAGAAAGCTGTTTGCTGACTAACCCTGCAGCATGCATGGACAACAGAGAGAAGGTACTTACCGTTGCCCTCTTCCGCAGAAACGCATCTGCTTCATCCACAAATAGCAGAAGGCTGTAAAAGGAAAGCACTAGACAGTAATAGGAGACAGGTAAGTAGGCTCAAAGGGCTCGAGGATTCTCCTGCCCCGCTACCAGGCACCCACAACTGTGGCCAGCCGTAAGCCCGAAGGATTACACAAGCAAAGTCATTTCTTAAGGCAACATTTCTCAGCTAAGCTACAGCGAGGTTTCCATTGCATGCGCTTTGCCCGTCCCAAGAGTTCAGAAAGAGATATTAACATTAGCTCAAGACACCTCAGGCCATAAATCTGACTCCAGGCCTCCAGAGTTTTGTTTCCTGCTCTTCAGAAGCAGACTGAACAGAAGCAATCCTAGGGCACACAACCTTAAGCTCCTCCAGATTTTTAAATACAGACGGGAGTTTTCACGGGCACGGTTTGGCAATGGGCTTGTATCTAGCAATGCTGGTATGCTACTGCCAAGTTGGAGCAGATCTTTGAAATTCAGACCTGCTCCCCAAGCATGTGTCAGACTGCTTATTTTAGCGTTCCCTCCTCTGCAGGGAGATGTGTGTAAGGGTACAAGACAGGTACAGAAGCATACAAGAAATCTTAGTTCCAACGGCATCTTCCTGCTG